AAATATTTAAGCCAATTCGAATATCGCACTGAATCTCGAACTACATAAATCTAAAGTATTATTGAATCTATCTCTTGCTCTATAAGGAGGCAATGAGTTTAAAGAAAACAAAATTGTTAGGTTACTTTTTGCTTAATATTTTGAGATATATGACTATTTGATTATTTTTTGGGAAATATATTGATTGCATTTTTTCGTACACTTTAAAGAGGGAAGTCATTAGGAATAACTCCCTTTATTCTGGATTGAATAGTTGAATTACTCTCATTCTTTCACACTATAAGGACGAACTCTCTTGCTTAGGATATGGTGGATTTTTTTCATAAATGGAGATTCTTAATTTGATCCCACTATTAATATTCTTATCTGTAAACCAAACATCAATAATATTAAGTTGATAAAGAATAAAAAGTTATAGGAAAGAAGTTTTTTTGAAACTTTATTTTTGGAAAAAGATAAAATACGGATTTATATATGTTCCATTAAAAAAACATACTTTTTTGAAGATCTTTTGAAACATTGAAGTTCTTAATGAATTTATGAAAGAATTGTGTTTTAAACGGAGATTTGCTAACTATGTTCCAAACTCCAGACCAGGATCAACATAAAAACTGAGCGACCGCCTCCCTTATACAAGGGAAACATAAAAGGTGTGTATAACCAGAGAGAGATCATTTCCAAATCCTCTTATTCCCCTACTTTCGGGGTTGTGATGGCCATTTGAAGATCTTAAAACCGTCAACCTCCAACCCTACGTATTCCTAAACAAACGGAACTGTTACCTGTTATTTTCCAATTTTAGTTACAGTCAAAAGTTTTGATCTTACAATTGGGCCTCTTTTCCCTGCAAATACTTCCCTCTCCAACAAAATTTGGAGTACCATCCCCTTTGTTTGTAAAGGAGATAATCAGAGAGAGAGATGGCGAATAAGGTGATGGTTGTTTTACTCGTGAGCTTAATGATCATGGCCATGGTTGGAGAAGGAAGTGCTGAATACTGCTTCACGAGATGCTACAACTATTGCCGGAAACATGGAGGTTTAATTATCGACTGCATTGTCAATTGTCCTGGTGTCTGCGACCCCAACAAGCATCGATTTCCACCTACTAACTGGCCACGGCCTGGATCAACATGATCGTAAAATCATTCCAACTCGATGCTTTTCTCTCTACAACAAATAATAATTTTCCAATAATCCTCATGAAATTTCTCTATTGGCAAGTGTGGCATATGTGAAAATACTTTTATGAAAGTATTTTGAAAGAATTCTTTATGTGATTAGGTAAGGGAGTTTTTTGTACCAATTGACAACTATTTGAGGTAAAAAAGATGTTTTTGGGATTAATTGGTATGAAAATACTCCTGCACCTAATCACATAGGGGAGTTTTTAATGTGAAAATATTTTCACCAAAGTATTTTCACAAATGCCTAACACATTAAAAAATGAGTTTCTCATACTCTTTTTCAGACAGTAAACTCATTGTTCTTGATTCAAGACATGTTTATTTAGCACAAATGAATTTTCTAAGAGAGTTCTTTCCCCTTAGTTGCTGCCAGTTTCTTATATTTATTTTGTGGGCACTCCATTTGGGAAAGCATTTTTCCGGCCTTTAACCAATTTCATGAGAAACTGCTATTCAGGTGGTGAGAGCGATACTTTCAGTAGGCTCATGTGAAAGCTCTCTCGATGAAAAACTTTTATAAGGTTTTGGAAAGCGCTTTTACTTGATAAAATGTACCTCTAATCCTTCTGCCCTTGTTCTACCATCAAGTTCTCTCCTGTCTTGTTCTCACTATCACTGTCTGTCTAGGAAATTGGTTTCTCTCAAAAACCTTACTATGCCATTTTCTTCTGGATGCAGCACCAGGTACGATTCCTCGATTTTGTGTAGGGCATTGCTAAGCCCAATAGGATCGAAGTTAACATGGATTGAACTTTGCTTCGCTCCATTTCTTACTCTTCTCAACTCATTTTCCCATTTATTGTACCTCCATGGAAATCAAAATATTGGTGGAAATGATTTAATCTCCCCATTGAATAAAGTCTCATTTTTACATATTCTCACCATTTCTTACATATAATACATTTACCGCAATTGCTAATACCGGGCCATGTTATTAAAAAAGGCGTTTATATTATAAGATCTTTATTTTTAATACAAGAAAGTCATAATCACTTTTAGCTATTGGATATGAAATCTATAAGATTAAAGTATATCACAACATTTGAGAAAGAGTAATATATACATCTATAAGATTAAAGTACAAGATTGTGACATTATTGTATAAAAAGTAAATAATCTCACTGTATACACTTCCTAATATGTATGTAAATATACACGGATCACCTATAGGGCACGCTATATAGGAGACAAATATAGGATGCTGAAACACATTATAAGTCATTCTAGATTAATTTTTGCAATTCTGTGGCTCAAGAAATAGTTCATGATATGCAGAGAACTAACATGACGGGAAATATATCAAAATACCTATTGGAGATGATTTATTTAACATTCAACCCAATTGTCACTATTCCAACTCAAGATCATGTGTTTTTTATGGCTATTTTGAAATGAAAACAAAAAGTATGGGTAAGATGTTAAATTATTCCTGTCTTGTGGATAACTTGATAAATTTCCCTAAAATGTATGCATGATAAATAATGCAGAAGCAAACTTTAAATAGTCTATTTTTGAGGTTCAAAGTCCGTTCCTTTTATTTTTCAGATTGGCGAGATTATCAACCAGTAATTTTTAAAGATTAACGACCTGTAAAATTTCAGGTAAAAAAACTTGTCCAACTTTTGATTGTACCGGTCCATTGTCACTGGAAAAGTATACCATATATGAGATGACCACATAATTGTTATGGTTCACATGACTTCATGAAGTAGCCCTGATGGTCATGACCAATTTATAGAGAGATAGCGCTGTAAGGATTGGGATTGGCAATTCAGACCATCACACGTACAACAGAGGTGCAAAAAACAAGAGTGATTTATGTACGCCATAAAATGTTAGGTAAAATACGGAATACTGCACTTATACGTGGAAATTATATGGGAGGCTTGTTATCCCACTTTTTTTATTTTTCTAAACTTTTGATATTTTAAAGATTTTTTTTTAGTTTTTTTGTCAGTAAGGCAGTGCCTTAAAGCTTGAGGCACCGCCCTATAAAAAATAAATAAATAAATAAAAATAATAAAAATTAGAGTTGATTGAAAGGCAATTTTGAAAAAAATAAAAAAAAGTGGGTTGATCGACCTTCTTTGTATAAATAGAGCGTTTTTTATTTTATCTAAAATTTTAGGGTCCGTATGTAAATCACTAAAAGAAAGTATAGTATTTTAATGAGGTTTGTATGACGCGCCATCCTTATATTGTAAAAATAAAATACGTCTCTAAAATTTACTTCAAGATGTAGTTCAATAGTCAGAAACCTTGTGATGACTAGACAATTTATTTTTCTTCCTAGTTATATTTCAAAAATGGTATAGAGCATATCTACAAACAATTAAAGCACGAAAATCGAGAGCTCGGATTACTTGTTACAAAATGCATCATTTTTAAGATTTGAAGTTCTTTTTTTTCTTTTCATATCCACAGGTCTCGAGGTCGACATGATCAATTGAAGAGTTCTTTTCCATCTCAACACCCGCTTCTGGAGGATTTTTTAGGTGCACCTTACTTAAATAGTATAGGCACCTTACTTAAATAGTATAGGCTTTACAACCGTATGTAAACGTTTACCTTACATAGTTAACGCGTGATAAGAAAATGATCACACGTTCATGATATCAGTCCTCAATTTGTGGTTACTATATTTTTTGGTGACTAAGCGAAAACATTAACTCAAGGCTGGCAATGGGCCGGGCAGCTCGGACCGGGCTCGCCTGCCTGTCCCAGCCTTAAAAGGTAGGGCATAGGCCCAAGGGTTGGTCTACGGCCAGTGCTAGCCCGGTTTGGCCTAGGTCGACCCTCTTTTTTTATTGCTTTTTTCTTTAATATTTTTTCATTTGTTTTGGGCTAGGCCTGGGCGTCAAGGCTGGCCCAACCCATTGCCACCCTTAAATTTACTTATGTTCTTTATGTGAAAATAGAAAAGTAACATAAATAACAATTATTTTTCAAAATATCAAAGAATTTGAGGTTGATTTTAAAAATATCCCAAAATCTTTGATCTCTTCAAGTATTTGACTAGATCCAAAATTTTTTTATAGAGATTTGATGAAATACTCATTAATGAATCAAATGAAATAAATTTGGGGTGATTTGGTTGACAATCATATTGATAGTTTGGCAAATTTGGATCGTCGATTTTCTTCTTTTTGTTTTTATTAGAAAAGCACAAAAAATGCGAAAACCAAACACCGAAGGCTTGAATACCGATGATTTTTTATGGATTTGTGCATTTATCCATCAATTAGAGAGCTTTATATTGGGCAAACCTCAATTATTGAAGTGAAGACGCTAAATTTTTATAGCTATAAATCTATAGAAGCTTAAAGTAACCCTGCAAAAGGCTTACCATGCTGAGTCGGGCTAATCCGGCGGGACTGAATGCGGTCTGCCGGTTCAACTCGACTGGTTCTTACTTTCGAGTGAAACTGGTGGTTTTTAAAAAAACATTTTAGTAAAATAACAAAAGTGATTTTTTTTGGGAAATCCAATAAGAAAGATAGGTCCTACTGTTTGTTTCAAATAGTATAGGAGTTAGTTTTTTTTTGAAGGTATTAGCAGATTGGTGTCGCTTGGAGTAAGTGATTTCTCACACTCACCAATTGGTTACATGGGAGATAAGAAAAAAAGAGGGCCTTCCTGGTCCTCTTAGAAAGTGTGTAATAGGTAATGTAGTAACTGAAACTGTTATGCCATAACATACAAAATAGACCCTTTGTGTATATAGTTGACAACTAAAAAATTGGTTTGGCACCAAATTTTTTGAAAAACTATAACATTCCATAGTTTGGCAATGGGGAATTATACTACAAAGGAAGTTCATACTTATCAAAAATGAGAAAGGAAGTGCATACTTATCAAAAATGAGAAATGTGGAGTTCCGTACTCCCCATTTCCCGTTTTGGATTGTTTGGTCATTTTAAAAATTTGATACAACTTCAAATGGTCTTATTTCTTATGAATGAGGATTGAGATGAAATAACTTGGAGGGTATATACACACCTCAATGAGAAAGATATGTAAAATATATAAAAAATTAATTCAAATAAAATAAAACAACCAAAATACCGTTCAAAGTTTTAGGGGCAGTTTTTTGAACATTTTTATTGGTCGGTAATATTTTGATGTATAGATGCCCAAAATTCTAGCTGGATCAAATATATATAAAAAAATTAAATTCTCAGATATGCTTTAGAGTGTCCAATAAAGTTCCGATAGTTGAGATTGATATTGTAGGGTGGAATTTCAGGAGTATTTCAACCCTTCTCTAAATATATTTTCTATATTTGGCAAGTGCCAGAGCTGAGAAGTATAGGCACCCCAATTTTTAGCTTGGTTTGAAGTATAGAAAAACCAAAATTGAAATACTTAGACATGCTCATAATGGTCTATGAAAGCGTTTTGATCATTATATTCTTTTTAAATTATTATTCCATAAATTTTATAGCTATGTGAGGATGAGAAGTAAATGAAATTACAAAAACTTTTAAAAGTCCCTCATACAATGTATTTAAAAGTGAGAGAGAAAAACCCAAGATCACTAGATAAGGCCCCAAAATTTATTCATGTTAAGGTTCTTGATGGCTCAAATATCTAATCCAAAAAAAGGGAAGAAAATGAAGAGAGAAATATATCCGTAATAATTCCTAACCCTCTATTGGTGAAGAAGAAACAAACTCCTCTATTGATCGAAGAAAGGCAAGAGAGTGCAGATATAAGAGAGTATGGGAGAGAGAGCATCAATCCAAGAGAAGGAGGTGAAGAAGGTATTGAGATGCTCTTCCTGTTGGCTTTATGTGGCTGTTAAAGGCCTTATGAGAGCTTGTATAAACATTTTATATAGTAAAACATAAACTTAGTGGAAGTGTAGACCACTTGTGGACCATACTAAATAAATGCGATTTGCCAATACTTGGAATATGTTTGACGTGTTAGGCCGGTTGAGTTTGGAAAATCCCAAGATACTTAAGCATAGGGATTTATCGAGAATTATTTAGTGGGTAGCCCTTGATGAGGTGGGAACATGCCTAGATGAGAGTTGAGAAACCGTTTGGCTCTTGCGTGTGATGAATAACTTTTAGAGATAGAGCTTACACAACATGTACATCGATAGTCGTTTTGATATTCACTAATGATGATGAAGCGTGTACATGTGCGAGAGGTTACCCCAATACACCATAGAGTCATCGTAGGACCATCATTTTTTTGTTTCTAGGCGAGAACTTAAAATCCATAAACTAGAATTGCATCCCCTAGTCTATTGGCTGACTTTGGTGGTCCAATCAAAAGCTTCTGCAGTGAACTGTGGGTCATGTGAACTGCTAGGTCAGTTTGAGAAAGCTAAGTAAATCATGATATGCAGTTGAAGGTGGAGTGCTCCCGTATATTGATAAATTCCTAGATCTAATTGATTTGATTCCCATTGAAATTAATTAGTTTTAAATAATTTTATGATTTATGATTTTGTAGAATGTTGATGTGAATTTTTGAGAATTTTATGATATTTTATTATGTCATTTGGATTTATAAATTAAGAGAAATTAATTTTCTAAAGTTTTAAATAAAATATAAGATTTAAAATTCTAAATACAAAATAAAATATTTTCTAAAATTGAACATGTGGGATTGGGTGAGCCCATGTATGGCCACCAAAGGCTGGCACGCCCCCACCCATGGGTCTGAGTTGTTCTCTAGTGATAGTTATCCACTTGTTTGTTGGCTTATATTTTGAGTATAACCCACTTAGTTGAAAATAGAAAATAAGATATATATTTTCTTTTTTTAAAGATTTGATGGGAATAGATCTAGAAAATGGAGGATAAGCTCTAGCTCATCTCTTTGAAATCTCTTTGAATCTTGATGGTGGATCAAAGAGATAGATG